CCACTCCAGCCCCTGAGGGCCCACGCCCCAATTTCACAAATTCTAGACTTCAGTCTATAGATCTGGGTTTAGGGTTTAGGATTTAGGGTTTAGGGTTTAGGATTTAGGGTCTAGGATTTAGAGTTTAGGGATTTAGGATTTAGGGTTTAGGGTTTAGGATTTAGGGTTTAGGATTCAGGGTTTAGGACTCAGGGTTTAGGGTTCCTTACACGAGTTAATCCCAGAAGGCCAGGAGACGTGCGTGGCTTACGATCTAGGGTTTACAGGCACTAAACCCTAACCCCTTGTCCACTTGGTTTCTATACCATTCCTTCTAGACATTGCTACCTTCAGGACCAAATCCGAAGGTTGAAAGCGTAAATCTTACACCCTCAACCCTAAACCCTAAACCCTAACCCTAAACCCTGGGGTCTAGGGGGTTTAGGGCTTAGGGTTGTAAGCTCTGAACCATGGACCCTAATTCCTGCGGACTTTGAGCCCTACATCCTAGATCCGAAATCGCCCCATGATGGTGCTGCCTGAAATCCACCCACTTGTAGCCGTAGCCCACCATGATTCAGGGTCGAGGGCCTAAGGGCTGGGTCCATTCCGTACCCGCGTGGTCCCCTGAACCCTAGACCCTTAACCCGGACCCTAAAAACCCTAAAGCCTAAAAACCCTGAACGCTCGAACCTAAACCCGAGAGCCGAAATCCAGGCAACGCACTGGAGTGAAGATCACCGGAAATATTTACCTTGCTGCTGGGTCAAAATTCAATTTCAGGGTTTAGGGCTTAGGGTCTAGGGCTTAGGGCTTAGGCTTTAGGGCTAGGGGTTAGGGTTTAGGGCTTACGCTTCGGGGTTTAGGGTTTAGGGCTTAGGTTTTTTGGGTGTTATGAGGGTTCTACGGGGCCTACGGGCTTCAATGGCTAGAACAAGGGAGAATCAGATGGACAAAACGGAACAAGATGGAAGCTAGGACTATGCATGAGTTTATACAGGCATCTGTTTTAAAGTTTGTTTCTCATCCAGTAAGAAATATGAGGCTACAAGTCTTATGAGTATCTATAACCCCTAATACCCTAAACCTTATAAACCCTGAACCCTAAAAACCCTAAATCGAACCAGGCTGGAGACATAGTACGAAAAAGCTGGACATTCTGCGTGGTGCGGATTTGATCCTCTACACCAGCAAGCGCCCTAGTAAGGCAGACCTCGAGTATTTCCGCAACTTTCACAAGGTGAGGGGTTCGCAAAAAGTGGTTAGGGGTAGGATGATAGGGGTACACCTTTGGGTTTGCGTAGGCGAGATTTTGACAAGCTCACCTATAGATGGCATTTTGGGATATTCAATGATATCCCCTGTCGTTGTGTAAGGGATTAGGGTCTAGGGTTTAGGGGGACCCTATTCATGAACAATCTTGGGGGCTTTTTGAAGCACCACCCAGTCACAGGTTAGGCCGATCCCCCCTGCAGTAGTAGCCCCCTCAATAGGACCTTCATATACCTACAATAGTCCTCTGTGGTAGCCATTCTTGGGTGGGCGATTGACGGGAGTGCCTGGTAATTAGTAATTCCTAGCCCCTAAACCCTTAGCCGCCTTAAGCCCTAAAACCCCTAAACCCTAAACCCCAAAGCCTAAACCTTAAACCAGGTGATTGTAAAGGATTTCAAGAATCCTGGCTACCAAGCTGGCGCGATTCAAAGCGTTAAGGACGCCTTTGGTTCCAAAGGGGCCCAGGAACACTGGTTTGACGACTACGACTGGGTAACTTACTTACTTAGCCAATAGAAGAACTTTAAACTTGTTGGGCTTCCTTTTTGGGTCTCCATAATAAAGGTTAAACTTTTTTAGCCCTGGTTATTGGGGAAGAGAGGTAACTGGCTTGGGCTTTGGCATATTCAAGTATTCCCCTTACTGGCTTCAGAAGTAAACTGAACCCTAACCCCGATATGGTAGCCAACCAAGGTAATGAAAACAAACCCGGACACTCTGCTCATTCATGACAAATGGATTCTGAAGACAATGAATGATAATTCTACTGATGCCATCTTTCACGACTGCGGTGCCCTGGCTCTACACAGCGACTTCTTCATGGTACGGCCGCGAGCCGTCAATGTGTCGGCCTTTGACTTCTTCACCATGACAAAGCAGTTCCCCACTGCTGAGATGCATCTGTATCAGGCCTTCACAAACATTCGCCGGTCTATGCGCTACCTGAACCGACTTGCACGACTTTTGTTTTGTTGTTTCTTGTTGCAAAAATCGGGCAGAGGGCGTTATGTCCTTGTCTGGGGAGTTTGCCAGAATCACCTTATTTTCGAATCCTGAACCGCGTTAAGGTTACAAATGGCTGCAGGGGGCGGCAGGCTCTCTAGGAGTCTGTCGCATGCGAGGTCCGAAGTCCCCGGTAGCTCACAACCACGAGCTGTGGAGATATTGTCCAGACTATATCAAAGCCTGGGTGCCACTCTGCCATTGTTAAGTACTTCGATTGGGGGTTTTAAGAGCTCCTAAACCCTTAGCCCTAAACCTCAAGCCAGCGATGACCAAGGAACAACAACAGCCTGAACAAGCAGCACCTAAAGTGATCAGCCACCGCTTTCCCAATGACTGGGTTGCTGTTATGGAGCTTTACACCAAAGTGCCACACTGTGGATATCCAGCATACAACAAGGTTTCCTTGTTCTGGTAAGTTAACACATTTTCCTTAGCAGTGATCCAGATCATGGTTCATGCAAAAAGGCTCTTGTGCGGTATCCCGCATAAATAGAGCCAGTGCAGGGACTTTAGCTTGTTCTGCCGCAATGAAAAAGAGCTCCTGCGGTAACTTGAGATCTTAGGGTTTAGGGTTTAGATTTAGGGTTTAGGATTTAGTGTTTAGGGTTTAGGTTTAGGGTTTTAAGATGTATGATTCAGTACGCCTTAGGCCTTCGCCTCGGCTACAGAAACTCCAACTGTGAGCCCTCATGTGAACCTTATGTTTCAAGAGTGCAGGTTTAGGGTTTAGGGCTTTTTAAGCTTAAACTCTATATTATTGTAGACACTCCAAGGCCAGATACCACCCCACCCTCCCACCCCTCGATTACTATGGTTTTGCGGGTTGCACAGCACGGTAGGTACTATGATCTGCTCTACCTAGTTGGGGTTGCAGGTGAACCCAAACATACTAAGCCATGAACCTTCACCCTTGAGCTGTTCCCTTCAAACCCTAAGCCTGAAACTCTGGACCCAGAACCCTAAACCCTTAGGGTTTATGGTTTAGGGTTTAGGGTTTGGGAAGCCCACTAGGAGGGGCAGGGGGACTTAATAAGTAGGTTAAAATAAGGACAAGCAGTGTAAGGTTCATAGGTATACTTATATGCTAAGTCTCCCAGCCCTCCAAGTATAGTCCCCCTTAACTAGATAGAATATGGCTTTGGGTAAATAACAATAAGATCCCTCATACACCCCATATTCGATCTACTTAAGGGGGACTATAAGCCCTAAACCCTAAATAGTAGTTTCCGTGCTCTTGTCCACTAATATCCTTATATCTACTTAAGGGGGACTGTAAACCCCCTTAACCCCTAGCCTAAACCCCTAAACCGCAAACCCCTAAACCCCTAAACCCCTAAACCCTAAACCCCTAAACCCTAAACCCTAAACCCCTAAACCCCTTCAGCCTTAAACCCTAAATTTCGGACCATCCTGAGAAGGCCGTCCCTGCAAGTATATTGCTACATGCGTGTGGCCCCTGGTCGACAATGTCTCCTTGGAGCTTTGGGTTTCAGGGTGTGCGGTTCAGCGTTTTGGGTTGAGGGTTTAGAGGTTCATGAAGCTTCGGTCTTCAGCACGTGAAGGCTCTGCTCATGGGCAGTCATGATTAGAAGCCTTTTGCCCGCAGCCGTTTGGTAATGCTAAAATATCCATAGCGTCCTCAAGGACCTCTTTTGGGGGGGAGGGGGATGGGGCGCTACCTGGTGAAGGGTTCAATTCACGTACATGAAAGCTACAGGAGCTGTTTGGCAAGTGAGGGTGGGAGTACACTCGTTTCACTTGGCATTTTGGCAATTTCTGACTGCCCGAATGCCTCTTACAGAGACAAACCCTTAGGCTTTAGAGTTTTAGGGTATAGGATTTTGGGGTTTCAGGAGTTAGGGTTTCTTTTCGGGGCACTCTACGGCCTCGAGCTGCCTCATGTTCGGAAAGCGCGGTCCAGAGAAGTAGTTTACCCAGAGTCTCCTATGTAGTTTCACCCTAAACACTAAACCCAAACTCTAAACCCAAACTCTAAGCCCCCAAAAATAACAACCTTCCAAAGAACTACATGGAAGCCTTTTGTAGCCAGTTCGTAGCTTCTGCTGGTTTTGTTCAATTTTTCGGGTAACATAAAACCCCAAGCCCTAGACCTTAAGCCATAAACCCTAAACCTTAAGGTAAAACTTGGCAATGCGCAACATACTGTACGTCCCAACCCTATGTGCTTCCTGTAAACAGCATGGAGGTTCTAGGGTTAGGGGCTTAGCGGATGTTATTCTGGAGTTTTCGGAGGCGAAGCCGTACTTGAAGATTGAAGACGGAGCCCGAGAGAAGCTGCTGATTATAAGAAATGAGCTGCCTGACCTTAGTATACCATAGCACCATAATTCCCAACCAAGATGGATGGTACTTGTGGTCATGCAGTTTCTTGACCACGGACTCTACACCATCTGCCCTCAACCATTTGTATCCCCAGATCCCCGCTTGTCAAGGTACTCAGGGTCCTGTTAACACCCAAATCCTAATCCCTGCAAGCCCCCAATCCTAAACCCTAAATCCTAGACCATAAGCATTACACTCCAAATCCTAAACCGCAAGCACTAAATTCCAAATCCTAAACCTTAGATCCTGAACTAGAAGCGCAAAACCGAAGATCCTGAATCCTAAGCCCTGAACCCTAAACCTCAAATAGTAGTATCCATTTTCTTTTCGATTATCCCTATAGTAACCCCGATATAACCCCAATAACCCCGACCCCTAAACCCTGAACCCTAAACCCTAAAACCTAAACCCTAAACCTCACACCCTAAACCCTGAAACCAAAACCCCTGAGCCCTAAAACCTAAACCCTAAACCCCAAACCCTAACCCCTAAACCCTAAACCTTAAACATAATTACCCCTATATAACCCCAAAAACCCTAAGCCCCAAACCCTAAACCCTAAACCCTAAGCCCTAAACCCATGGGCGTTGCGTCATCTTCGAGGTCATCTCGAAGCAGACAGCGCGGACGGTGGACACGGTACATGCCCGGCCCGTCTTAAAAGACTTGGATCATTTTAAGGTTTTAGGGTTTAGGGTTTAGGACTTGGAGAGTTTAAGGGATAATGGAGAATCAAATGGAAAAGAAAATGGAAAATGAAATGGAAACTGGGGTTATATAGGGGTGCATATGTATATACAGTATAAGGTTTAGGAGTGTAGGGCTCGGGGCTAAGGGGTTTAGGGCTGAGGGCTAGGGGCTTGTGGTTTTGGAGTTTAGGGGTTTAGGGTTGAAGTGTTTAGGGGTTCAGGGTTTAGGGCCAAGACATGTCAGCTGGGTAGGTTTAGGGTATCAGTGTCTAGGTCTTAGCGCGTTTTAGGTGGTTAGGTTGGGGGTTTAGGCATGGTCCAAGAAATTTTAGGTGGATAGACTCCCCACAGAAGCCTTACAAGGGTTCAGGGGTTAGGGTTTAGGGTACTCAGTCGCCCTATATCAGCTTTAGAGTGAATAAGCTCGATGTTGGGGTACCCACCTGGATATTCTTGAAATTCCCTGTTTCTTTGTCAAGCTACATGGAGGCTTCCAAAAAGCGGGGCCGCTCCTTGGGTGTTCCTAGAATAAGGAGTACCTGGACCCCAAAAGTATGTAAATTTTGGCCTTTATGGCTATTATTTTGGGTTTAGGGCTAGTATTTTACATACTTTTGGGGATTAGGTATACCCCAATGAACTACTGTCAAGATTAGCCTTAGCAAGGGACGCTTGAGGGTGGACATAGGGATCCCTCTTGTAGTTTAGTATAGTCCCTAACCAGGAACCCATGTCCATCAGGAAATGTTGCATGTAGCTCGCATGAAGTAGGGTTTAGTGCTCCCCTGCTCCTCAAGCCCCACCAGCCCCCACTCTGGGAACCTTACATGAACCCCATGGAGGACAGGAGTCTGTTCATATTGGGATTCGTGATAGTTGCGGAGTGCCAAGCCGAAACCGTAACCGCGCCTGACCTAACCCGAAAGCCTCAAGCCTTGTCGCCTTAGACCCCTCCTCTCTGCACCAGCCCAAATGAATCAACAAGAAGTGCTGGGCCTGCGTTGTTGTGCCACAAGTTGCGAAATTTGGCACCTAAACCCGAGCAAGAGTGGGAAACCAACATTGGCTGCCTGTATTATCGAAATTTGGGAAGGCCTGGGGCATGATACGATCTGACTTGGTGTCCCCCATGCCCGAAGACTGCAAACTGCGAAGCACTAAACCCCTGACCCAAAATCACTAGACTCCTAAACCCCTCAAGAATAAACCCCTAAACCCTAAAACGTCTCGCATCAGATGGCGGCCCAAGCTTAGGCACACTACAAGCACAGAGCGACGCCTTTGCGAAGACATGAATCCATGTCTAGCAGGCTGAACGATTCTACGGTTCTTGCCGGATCTCTATGAGCTTTGGATGAAATGCTTTAAAGTTCGGACCACCGAGACAGCGGAAGGAAGTCTAGGGAAGCTGGGTTCGGACACTGTTGCATGCGAAGTGAATGCTTCCCCTTGACCCTAAGCCCTAAAGCCTCCGTAGATGTCTCAGCCAGAAACGCGACAAGTTTAGGGCTTAGGGTTTATGTTCAACTGCTAATATATAAAAAAAGCTGAAAAGCAAGGCTGTGCACCCCATACTCTCAAATTCCTGAGCCTGATCACAAGAAACTTCTAAACTTCAACCTCTTCAGCCCGACACCCAAAACTGCGTATAGCCTTCCAGAGAATGTAACAACCCCAAACCACGTACAGCATTGTGGTGTATGTAACTTCAGCGGAAGCATCAAGTGCAGCCGCGCAGCATCCCTTGACGAGGGCACCTTGGTATAGGGGACTACTGGGTTGCTTTTAAGGAATGTAAATAGAATTACTGCAATAAGGAAAGCCTATTATTTCAACCCATTTTATGGTAACTCAATTTAAGCTCCTTAACAGCAACCCAGAGTAACTCCCCCAAACAGACGTGGGGGGGGGGGTGTCTATAAAGTAGTGGTCCCTTTCAAAAGGTCCTGATGGGCTTCCACACGTGTTTGGGAAGGTATGTTTTAGGGTTCAGCGCTTAAGATTTAAGCTTTTGGTTTTCAGGGTTTGGGGTCTAAGACTTCCAGTTGATGGACTTGGACAAAACTCTGCGGGACCCTAGCTGTACGGGCAAGGTTCGTAGGGATTGGATTGGTCATGTACGTTTTCGTTGATGGAATATGAGTGGCAGAAGGC